GTCATTTATTTAGAACACAGAACCGGACTCACACATCACATTCCCAACAGGGTCAGTTTTACACATACAGCTTAGACTTACGGTTCAGAAACACAGCACCCAACCAGCTAGCAAAACATTGTTAACACATACAAGTCATCAAGATAAACACAACAGGGTAACACATCAGAACACATTAAAACACATTAGAACACATTAAAACACTTGTACAACTGTTCCCCGAACTAGTCGCTGAATTCCCATGATGCCCCCCATGCATCATGTCGCTGCCACCAGACCCCTCCCCAATAGCCGACGTAGGTCGTCACAATACATTAATAGACAAAGGAGATAGTCACAGTTTCAAGTTAGTCATTGTGGCCACCAGGTACAGTCATTCAGTTTAAGTCTTTCAAGTAGGAAACCACCCCACAATAATTATGAAAAATAACAAACTTGTCCCTGTGTCCTCATTAATAATTTAACTGTAACCAAACTTCACAATATAGTGACTTCGCCTCCTTGCGGCATCAGGCTTTCCCTGGCATTGAGCTTATTCTTGGCATTGCCTCATTGTGGCATCAAGTTTTATTTTATAAAACCTGGAAAAAATGATATCAAATGTCCTATTAAATTTGGAAGACAACCCACAGTGGTTATTCATTTATGTGATAAATTTTACATCTTTTATGATTCCAAATCGATCTAAGACTAGGACACTCATGAACTCTCCCTCACGTGAGGCTATGTGATTAAGACTTTACATGTAATCAGACTTCAGACAAAAGATGAAAACACTTTACTTCTCTTTTAGAACAATTTACCGATCGGAGAATCAAATCAAATCAAAGAAACTTTAATTATCCCCGAAGGGCAATTCAATTAGGACACATGAGCAGCATATCGGATGTATACCAACCATACAGACATAAGTACGATCGAATATAATAAACAATAAAGGGAATATCCATCCATCCATCCATTTTCTTCCGCTTATCCGGGGCCGGGTCGCGGGGGCAGCAGTCTAAGCAAAGATGCCCAGACCTCCCTCTCTCCAGACACTTCCTCCAGCTCCTCCGGGGGAATGCACGATGAACCGCAATAGATCAGAGATTAGTTTTGGCAGATCCATCCCGTTCACATATGCGCTTCCTTATAAACACAGTTTGGCGCGGCAGTGTCAGTTCGAAACAGTTCCTGTATCGGTCACGTGACTTTCTTAAAGCGATACACGCACCGAAACGGGGTTTTGCTCTACGACCTCGACGCATGTGGCGACGCATCGGTGTTGCCGGACCCATCACTACCTCTAACTTTAACATTATAACTAATCAATATAGTGTATATTAGTTTACATGTCAGCTGTGAAGTATTCACATCCTTTACCAAAGTAAAAGTACTAATACCACCCATATGTTAGAAATTAACCCAATTCTTTTGTTGGAAGCACGAGAAGTGAAGACAGGAGAGGACTGTTTAAAATCAACAGAAAGTTTACTGAAAGTCTGAGGACAGGTGGAGCGCTGGGATCAGAAAGACAGAGCTCCCACAAAAATCCATTCTCTGAACCCTGTGTTAGGTTTTTACAATGCATTTATCTGGCTGGGCCAGGCCTGCCCTAAACAAAGGTATAACAATTCTTCGGCACCATTTGTTAGAAATTAACCCAATTCTTTTGTTGGAAGCACGAGAAGTGAATACAGGAGAGGACTGTTTAAAATCAACAAAGTTTACTGAAAGTCTGAGCACAGGTAGGTCTTACAGCGCTGGGATCAGAGAGACAGAGCTTCTGCAGAAAATCCATTCTCTGAACCCTGTGTTAGGTTTTTACAATGCATTTATCTGGCTGGGCCAGGCCTGCCCTAAACAAAGGTATAACAATTCACACTTCGTAATCCTATTGGCCATTTGGAGTGAGTAGGTCAAACCCTGTCTGTGCTTGCTTGCTGATATGTGATCTAGACCAGGTGCGTGTGTGTGTGCGCATGCCTGTGTGTGTGTCTCCAGCACCCTGATCTTGATATCAAGGTTAACTGATCAATGGGTGGCCTGAGTTGCAGGCCCCTTTTGTGTGTGATGCTAATAAGTATGTTAAACTGGCCAGGTGGTCATCTCAGGTTGTAGCCCCCGGCCTCTGCAGGACATCCCAAGACAAAGCAGAATCTTGGTATTCGCATGAGCATCTGCCAGCGCTTTAAATAGGGAAGAGTGATTAGCGAGGGATGAGGTTCAGCTGTGTGCCCCACACGGGAGCGACTCAACAGGTGATGCGCCTCAGCTGTGTCACTGAGCATATTCACAGAAATGAAATTAATATACATTTTGCCTGTCAAATAAATGAATAAGCTGAACTAAACTGAACTGCTAGCCTGAATACTGGCTGAAAGACACTTTAATTATCACTTGCTACAGCTTGCTAAGACTGTTTAATATACAAGTCCTAATCAGAGGTGTTTTAATTTAAAATTAAAGGCTGAGGCCACGCACATTCCGTGAAATCAAATTCACAGGCCTTTGAATACTTGACTATTTGTGTGTTGGCACTTGAGGCAGCAAAACACAATGGTGAATGCTTTACAGATAGACTGATGTACTAAATTATTATTGCTCTAGATTTTAATGGAGACAGATTCAGACAAATTTCAAAGTCTGAACGAAGACAGATATGGGAGACATTTTCTGGAATATCTTGCCTCATTCAATTGTTTCTTGTCTTCAAAGAGCCTAAAGCCTGGAAGGCAGGTTTGTTTTGAGCATGTAATTTACATACTCATCTCTGGTAGGGCAGCTATTTTCTCATATTGCCACTATATTGGCACATGCAAAGGTAATTTATTTTCTCAAGAGATATGTTTTCACACATAGCTTTTGTTTTTCAAGTCTGGATAGCTTATTAAAGATCTATTATAAAGAACATGGTAAGCCACTGTGACAATCAACTGTCCTGCACTTTGTTGTTCTTCACAAAGTAGAATTGTAATGGACCTCACTTGTATGCTTTTTTAGGTTCAGCTCATAGTGAATGGCATCCTGTCATGTCTCCATTATTTGAGCCCATATGTGGGAATGGGGTGTTACAACCACTTAGTGTACCTATCAGCCAGTGCTGCCAATTTAGCAGCTTAGCTCTAATGTCCACTGGATGCATCATGTTTGGGCTCTACTGAAATATTATGCAGCAATTTCAGCACCTGCCAATTTCCAATGTACCAACATGTTCATCCCAGGGTGGCAAATATTTATGCTTTGCCAAGTACCTCACATAGGATTTTCAATTGCTTCCAACATTAACTCATTCATATCAATACCCGACACCCAGAGTAACTGCAATGGAGTCAGCCAACTCCAAAGTAAACCTTCCTGTAGCAGTATTGGAGCTCTGACATTCTCATTGGATAGTTGAAGCATGACACAGATTTTGTTCACAAATAAAATATTTTATGGGAGGACTTGTCCACTGTAAATTCACACAATGTTTTCTTTATTGCCAATATTCCTCAACAGTAAAACATGGGAGTTTTATTGATAATTGATCTACAATGTAGGCATGCAACTGTACCCAGTAATGGTTCCTTACACACTTCTGTTTTTAATTCACAGGATGTATGCAGTTGTATGCCTCTACCAACCAGTAAAATTTACAGGTATGGGACAGAAGTGAGGTCAGTGACCTTGACCTTGGACCACCAAAATCTAATCAGTTCATCATTGAGTCCAAGTGGACACTTGTGGCAGATTTGAAGAAATTCCCTTAAGGCGCTCCTAAGATATCACGTTCACAGGAATGGGACAAATGCAAGGTCACAGTGACCTTGACCTTTGACCACCACAATCTAATCAGTTAATCTTTGAGTCAAAGTGGACACTTATACCAAATTTGAAGAAATCCCCTCAAGGTGTTCCTGACATATGGCGGGCATATTAATTGTACAAACAGATGGACATTGCTGGTGCAGAGGCATAAACATATTAAACTGCTACAAACTACTACTACTGTGTGCTCCGATAACCAGGAAAATGTTGTTTAAATAAAGAAGGAACCAGCATTTGTACCAGTCATTTTTTCTCTGCAGCATTTGTGTGGTGCCATTTCAAATGAGTTAGCAACTTTAACCTGTTGCCAAAAACATACATGAGTACAACTGAACAAACAGACTGGAGTGCAATAAACAAATAAGATGTCTTACTTGTCTTTGTCCATTGTCGTACATCACTGGGAAGCTGAAGTGTTTGCTTAGTGATAAGGGAGAAGGATAAAGGATCTTTTGGTTTTTCATTTGTATTGGCCTTGATGTTACTTACTTAAACAGTGATGGAATCTACATATCACTTCATGGATTAAAGTTGAGATTTTCTCTTGTTTGTTTTTGTCAAACCAGGGTTTCTAAGCACAGGAGACCAGGCAGCCAAGGGTAACTATGGCCTGCTGGATCAAATTCAGGCTCTCAGGTGGATCAAAGAAAACATCCAGGCCTTCAAAGGAGATCCAAAGAGAGTGACCATTTTTGGATCTGGTGCTGGAGCATCGTGCGTCAGCCTGCTCACCCTTTCACATTACTCAGAAGGTATGTATGTTTGCTCGCAGACATGTATAACAACACAGAAGTATGCCCACACTCTATATATGTGACTCTACAACCATGCTTTGGTATACAATTGACTTCACAAGTTCACAGTGAACTTGGGATAGGAAGTTTGTTTAATTGAAACAACAACATTTATAGTTAGGTGACAGTTATGATCTCAAAGTCTAGCTTCAAGTGTAGGCAAACTTACAGTGGGTACAGAAAGTATTCAGACCCCCTTAAATTTTTCACTCTTTGTTATATTGCAGCCATATGCTAAAAGCATTTAAGTTCATTTTTTTTCCTCATTAATGTACACACAGCACCCCATATTAACAGAAAAACACAGAATTTTTGACATTTTTGCAGATTTATTAAAAAAGAAAAACTGAAATATCACATGGTCATAAGTATTCAGACCATTTGCTGTGACACTCATATATTTAACTTAGGTGCTGTCCATTTCTTCTGATCATCCCTGAGATGGTTCTACACCTTCATTTGAGTCCAGCTGTGTTTGATTATACTGATTGGACGTGATTAGGAAAGCCACACATCTGTCTATATAAGACCCTACAGCTCACAGTGCATGTCAGAGCAAATGAGAATCATGAGGTCAAAGGAACTGCCTGAAGACCTCAGAGACAGAATTGTGGCAAGGCGCAGATCTGGCCAAGGATACAAAAAGTTTCTGCTGCACTTAAGGTTCCTAAGAGCACAGTGACCT